TTCTCCTCTTTACTGGTTGCAATCTCATTTTCTATTTTCAGCATAATTTTAGTAGAACACCAGAGTGCCTTTTTTTATTATGCTCAGACATACAGATAATAAGTTGCATCACACCAAGTTGGAGGATGACATGATTTCTGTAAAGACTTGAGTGTTAAAAGTTTATGAGAAGTTTGATTTAAAACTATGGTCTACACGATGTTCCCTAGGGGAAAAGACAAGGCTCCTTTAAAGCTTGGAAATGATGCTCCATTTGCATTGCATGGATCTGAATATACTGGATTAAGTTGCTTTATGTGATGTTATGTGACTGAACGTAACCAAGTATAACCATATGGTCCATAAAGTAACTTGTGAAATAGACTTGCCTTACCCTGGGAATAGATGTTGCTCATTTACGATCCCCAAAATATTCTGCGTCTGAATTGCTTGCAAGTAGTACAAGGGAGCTGGGCTGTGTTTTGAGGCTGGTGCAGCAGCCAGACAGAATCCTGACACCAGCTCAGCTATAAAATGTACTTGTAGGTCAAAGCTACAGAACAATCTGTATCATGCTGCTTGCTGTCGTTAGCGTTTCCCAGTGCAGATCTGTTCAATATATAAAAATGCTAAATTACTGATCCTGGATATGTTAAACGGATGGCTGTAAAGACTATCACATTACTCTGGTTAGTTCTCCAAGGAAAAGAATAATCTTGGAATACAGTTCTCCTACACATCTACCTTAAGGATAAAATAATCTGTTTGAAGTGATCCCAGTTCATTCCTCTGTAGCTTTAGTCCCTGTCTACTGTCTTTGACAGGTAATTTTTTTTCATTCTTTTGGTGTGCAGTTTAATCACATAAAGCTACACAAACACTTCTCAAATATTTCAAATACACACTTTTTCTGGTTTGCCTTATGTAATAATGATTTGCAAATCCTAGAAGCTTTCCTGACAGACCTTGAAAGATTCTGTTTGCATTTCCAAGCTGGTCACTTCTAGTAGCACTTGGATGCTACGGAGTCACTGGATGTTACTAAGATAGACAATAATTCCAAAGTTAAGGCTCAGATCACAGTTACTTCAATATCCTGGATTAATCTGAATTCAGAGCCTGGGACTAGGCTGTGACAAAGATGTACAGAATTTAAACGAGAGTTCCCCAGGACAAAGAATATTTTGATCCAGAATTTTTGTCTAAATCTTTTGCTAATATCTATTTTTTTTCTTTTTTTTTTTTCTTTTTTTTTTTTCCACTTCAAAAAATGGCTGGGCATAGCCGAATAATAAAAACTTGCTCCTGTGAAAACAGAATTGGAGCACTGGAGCAGTGGAGACTCAGCTGACTTTCTTTTCTTTGTTCTTCACCATCAATAACACCCATGAAATTAATATTTTAAAGTAAATAAAAGGAGAGAGAAGAAAGAATAAATAATATGATCGGTGATTAATCTAATAATCTTATGGTAATACTGGCAATAACCATTGTTGCTTTAAAGCATGATGTACAGTGCTTTTTGATTAAAACTTCATGGAAAAAATGCATGTTCTGCTTCTTAAATATCTTAATTAAAATAATTTTACTAACAGATACCTCCTTTCCCAGTTGCCTATGAATTGAGTAATACTAGATAGAAACAAATGGCTAGGTAAGTGAATCAAAAGGAGACACTTCTGATGAATGTCCAGAGGCAGTTCTGTATATTATATGCTGAAACCTTGTAATTACATAGTGAAGCCTAAATTCAAATGTTGCATCAACTACCTGTTGACTTTATTAGATCAGTACTTCTTTATTACCTCTTAGATTTTTTGGGAGGCATCCATAAATATCTAAACCCCTGCTAAGAATATAAATCCAGAGGTGATGAACTCTATTTCATTACAGAGATTTATGCCTTTAACAAGAAAAGAGAATATTTGATATTAATAATAAAGATCTTCACAAATTTCCTAAGGATTTACTTGACTATATCATCCTGTGCAGTTACTCTATTCATCCCCAATTTCATGTGCTTTTTGAAGACTCATAATTCATCTTCTCTATTTTGTTAAATAAGAGATTTCAGAAGTCACAGAACATCTCTCTCTGTGCACGTGTGTCTGCATGTGAATGTGCATGTACATGCAGGGAAGTTTCTCCCCACATTGGACTCAGAGCCACACCAATCCACACACAACTCTGTTTTCTCGATTTTTTTCCCCCAGAATGTTTCCACAGATGTCTGTGGTTGAGGTATCCATGCCTACTCTGAATGCTCAATGAAAAATATACAGATATTGGTTTCCCCACTGCTCAAGGAACTAATTTTTGAGACTTATTTCACCTCCAGAAATAGCTGAGTGCCTGCACTATTTAGACTTTAATTATAGTGATGGGAACTATATGTAATTGTCTTACCAGATATTGAATTCTTTCCACATCTGGTATTAACATGAAGTGAGGAAATAGGCAGGAAAAGAGGAATTAGAGGTAAAGAAAGGTAGAAATGGATATTCATTCCTAAAGGTATGCACCAAGGCTGTGGGAGCTATGTCCTTTTCATAATATTTCCACTGTCCCTCAGTTTCTTCCTAAAAATGTCATTTGAGCAGGTGGCCAGAAAACAAAGCAAGCAAACTCATGAGCAACTAAAAGAAAACTTGGTCTTATTATTTCATAGCTGAAAGTCCAAAACTAAGACACTAAATGTAGGAAAAAAAAATGAAGTTTTTTTGACCTTTGTCCTTTGCACACCAGCTAGATCATTTTCCCCACTGTGATGGATAAGCATAGCAAAAAGGGAATGAAGCCATGGCAAGCATGTCCAAAATCTTCATTTCCAAGCCTTCTGTTTCCTTCTGAGAAAGGGAGTAACCTCTGCATGTTACATTATTAGGCTGCATCTAAGAAATATCGTGTCTCCTTCCCATCATGCTTTACAGCAAACCAAGGACATGCAAATCATGAGACCATAGATTTATTTTACCTTATTTCATTAAATATGTATCTGTGAGGGAAACAGGCACAGCCAGGATTATTCCCTTAGAACAATTTCATAAATTGCACATGTTCTGCATAAACTTTTATGCACAGACTAAACATTCATCACTCCTTCCTTAGATATTTTCCTCAGGTCCTTCATTTTATTTTCCTCTCCCCTCTGGGTTATAAAAAGTCAAGCCATTAAATAATCATCTTCCTAAAATAAGAAAATAGATGCTTCTGACAACTGTATATCATTATGGTATTCAAGCTACATAAAATAATCCCAACATCTGTTTCTCTGTCACTTTTCCAAACCCTAACCTACTAATAATATACTAGACAGACAGTAAAACCAAGTATCATGCTATCTGAATCCTTCTGATTAAATAAATGCAATGTGGATGTGTGGCAGCTTTTGTGACAATACAAAAATGTATGGAAAAAACTAGATGCAAAAAGAATCTCAACAAAAAAAAAAAAAAAAAAAAAAAAAAAAAAAAAAAAAGAGCATATGCCACTGATAAGCAAACATCAAAAGTAAACTCCAGAAAAATAATTTTAAGACCTATCATTTTTCAGAACAAATTTGACCTGTTCTGTTTTTACAGTTATATCCCTTACAAGACAGTTTCTTGCAAACAGGTTTTGAAATCATGGCTGACCAGTAATAAAATTTTCTTTTTCTGAGTGTGTCTAATGCTCAGAAAGATGTTCTCTTGATTGACCTTAACATTTCACCCTGGTACTGCCATCGTGGGACTGCTTCTTCTCAGTGGGAATTGTTCCAGTGTTAGGAATTCTGCAGTGAAGGCTGCTGTCATGTAGTCATGCAAGAACATTAAGGATGTTCTATTGCATATAAGTGTGATCTTGGTTAATGTTTAGGAAACAATAGCTGGATTTGATAAAATATTTTTCCCTATGTTGGAGCCACAGATGAGACAAGAGGCAAAAAGAGACTGTCATGACATCCATTTCTCTGCCAGACTTGAAAATACCTTTTTTCTGCTCAGTACATGTAATCAATGACCCTAAGTACCTATGAATGGCAAATTTGATCAAATTGGAGATCCTGCTACTTAAATATCCCATCTCCAGAAACACAGAACAAGTAGACAAGCAGGCAGTGATAACCTTCTTCCAATAAACTGCATTGTATGAATTTCCAGAGTTAGAGATGGTGTTCACTTCTTTGCATTGAACAGCCCTTGCTAGACTTTAATTCTCTCAGTTTGAATACTCAAGCTTTGGAGTGGATTTCTTGTGGTTTCTGCAGCTGTCTGGATGCTGGAACTTGGAAGAATTCATGTTATTATCTCTCCATCTTTTTGTGCTATTTAATTTGAAAAGAGAAATTGCAGCTGCCTCATTCCTCTTCATTGACTCTGCACCTAACTTCCGACTAATTTTGATTGCACATTCCCCTACAACCCTAATACCTCCCTTTGTCTGTAACTGGCTTTATGAATGAAGGCACGGTGATTAAATTACATTGATGACATGCCTGCATTGACTTATCTGCTATGCATTGTGGTATATGACAGGGTTTGTGTAAAGTCTCTCAGGCTAGTAGTTGTCTGAAATAATCTTGCAAGAAAAGGTTTCATTTTTAATGATAGCATTCTAAGTATCAAAATGGAGCTGAGAATCGAAAAAAAAAATTGAATGAAGTAGAAAACTTATGATAGAACACCTTCTAATTACAGTAACGCACTCCAGGGCTCAAATTATCAAATGATAATTTACACCTAGGTGATTTGACAGCACTCGGCCTTTGGCCTTCTGCCTAACAACACAATAGGCGTAAATCATTACCAAGCGATTCACACCCTGTCATGTCTTATTGCTTAATTAATTTGTCTAAAAGGCTTTCCATGAGAACTTAGAGCAAATGCCTTTGTTGTACATCTTTTAGTATGGAGGTCAGTACCTGCTCTCTCTGTCATTCTCAGCTCTCATTTCAACCTGCTGTAGTTTAACAGAAAATTTTTGCTTTTTTCATGCAGTCATTTAAATTGATATTTGCATTTTTTGCTCTCTTCTTTTAGGGGACTTCATCAGTTTTTCAATGGCTGCTGTGGACCCATGGATGAAGGTTAAACTCATGCTGAGCTTAGGACTGCAAAGAGCCTAGAACTGATCTTATGGGTCACTGGAACATTGCACTCATGCGGTTAAAATGTTGTTTTTATTAACTTGCCAGTGTATGTTTATTCAAGCAGCAATATCAACCTCATATATAATCTTAGAACAAGTAAAGCTATATTGTTGAGGCAGACATTAAATATTTTGAATATAAATAATGTATGGTATACTCTCTCAATGATCCAATCTGAAGCCCTGGCACTGATCTGGAGAATAATAAATCTGATGGCACAAAAAAATAGTTAAACAAATTTATATTATGGGGAATATAATGACTGATATCCATTAACTAGATGATCCAGCTGCAGTCCTGAATCCTTAAACTACTGATTGTTGAAAGCCAGAATGATTTTACAAGGGAAGTGGCCCTGGAATTCACTTCTGACTCCTTTAGTAGGGAGTATGTTAGATTGATAGATGAATCTAACATGCAGGAAGGCTTATTTATGTTCTTATAAACAGTGATAACCAGAATTTCCACAACAGTCTTTTCTGGCAGAAAAGAAAGAAGGAAAAAAAAGACAAAAAACATTCCATAAGCCTTTGCAATGAAAATAATGTTTCTAGATGTATACTTAAGCCCTATCCAATCCTCTTCAAATGCTTCCTTTACCAGATAATTCCCTTGTCCTGAGAACAAGGGAACAAACAATATGTGACCTGTCCTTGCATCCAGAATAGCCACTGTTGGAAGGTATCCAGGATCTGGAATGATGATCATGGTACAAAACTGAAGGTGGAAGTCTTAAACATATGACATTTGAGGCAAGGGAAAAGCTGGAGATAGGAATTACATCTTTGAGTAAGCAATGGTCTCTCAAGGAAAAGTACTACAGTGGTAAATTTATCACCTAATTTCCCCTTGCTCTAAATGCTAGGAGTTTTAATAAAAAATATTGCTCTTGTAAAATAGAAAACAACCAACCAAACACACAAAAAATCAAACCACTTTTAGTGAATGAAATAGCCTTGCCTCAAAAGCTGAAGTCCTTTAGCTGTTCTTGCAGCAGGCACAGTGGGGGGAGCCAAGAGGCCACCAATGTGCCTCAAGCACTTCTCAGAGGACAAATAATTATTTGTTTAATTAAACAGGTTTAATGCCTGTTTAATTACTTGGTATTTCTTACTTTGACTGTCATCTAGAACAAAAAAAAATATTTAATGATATCCTGGCTTGCCTTGATTTCGTTTTCTGACTGTAATCTTTCCACAATGAGATTGTGATATCTCCCAGACTTCTCCTGGCTGAAGACTGAGTGGGCTGTGAAGTGTCCTTAAGCTATCTTAAGCCATGGAACACTCATTATTGGCCACATGAAGGTTTTTAATGTCTGTGCAGGTGAATGCAGAATTAATTTTCTGTCTAATTAGCATTTGTATTCTTGGATACATGTGTGATTCTATTTAGAAATTATATTTTGCAAAACCATCAATCTACCTCACACCTCTTCCTTGATTTTTATTGCTATTAATATAAGTAAGAAAGAGGTGATAGGAATGCAAATAACTACATTTATCTTCCAAGAATCTCATTTCTCCTTATTGAATTTTATCTATGAAAATGAAATTATGTATTTGCAACTTCACACCTGCAAACTACAGAAATTTACCTCACTTCTTTGACAAGCTGAGAAGGAACATCTGGGAAAACCAAGCCAGAATGTGAGCAGTTGGAAATTTGATTGCAAGAGAATATAAATTCTTCCCTTAAATAGAATTTACAAATTAAAACTATTTTCTGAGGATGTCCATGTCCCTCATTAAAGGTACTTTATGATTCTTAAAAATGGAACTATCTCTTAACTCAAATTTTATATTAAGATGTTCCAATAGCTACTTCCTTCTTTCTTCTTGGTTATGTTAATTTACCTTGTGTTCATTGCCCCTTTTCATTTACCTGAGAGTGCACTTCTAGATAAGACCATGATTTTATTATTTTATGGCTATTTGTGTAATGGTAAAATCAAAAAGGTGATGTCAGAATTTGGCTCTCCCTATTTCCAAATGTGTTGACTCTAATTAAAGGTGACTGTGACATAACCTCAGGTTCAGCAGATCAAGGCTCACTGTTCTTTGCAGCCTTTTGCTACAAAGCCACATGGAGCAAGAAGAGCATCTAAAATTCCCTCTTGATTGCAAAGATTTCTTGTTTACCATTTTGACAAATATTTTACTTATTTGGAAACCTCATATAAGATAGCAAATTACATCAATAATTTTAGCAACTGTAATCTTAAAATATTTATATCTTGTGCATGGGGTTCCTACAGTACAGGAGAACATGATTTGGAGGTGGCAGATGACAACACTTTTTTAAGAACCCAGGTGATCAGGGCATGTATTTTACCACTAAATAAACTTAATAACCTTCCTGAACACTCCCAAGTGACCTGCTGTGCTCCAGTGAAGTTACCAAAATCAGTTGTTTAGCCTGAAGGAGGGCCAGACCATGTGAACACATGGAATTTCACAGAACATACAGACAAGCCCAATAGTGATGATTTCAACGGTGGTTGTATAGACATCTAGCTGTTCCTTTCATTCCTTTTATTTTTAAAAATGAATTAATTCAGTGTTATTTCATCCCCTACAACTGTTGGAATACCCATGAGTTTGGCTATCAAGTTAAAAAGAAACTTTATGGAGACCACCCAGAATCTGTCCTTGGTTATCCAGGGCAACAGAACTTTAATGAAAGATTTTCTTTTACCCCTGTTTTTGTCTTAAGTTTAAAAGGGAAGGAGAGACCTTTTAGCATTTAGGCAGCTGCCCAGACAGTAGCTTGCTCTGTCAGTCAGCTTGGCCCACACTCTCTGACTTCCCTTATCTTAATTCCAAACTCTCTAACAGTAATGTTAAGTACTCAAAACTCTAAGCCACTTTTGATCTTTTTATTAAAAAAAACACAACAGTTCTGGGTGGTTGGATTTTGAAGATGCATATATCTCCTGTTCGTGATTTACTTGTTCTTGGCCTTAAGAAGTGTATTGGAAGGTACCATTAACTGCAGGAACTTGTTTATTTGACTTCTGAAACCCTGGTTCTTGCATGAATCAGCCTCATTTCTGCTCTCTTCTCAGAATGATCTGAACATAAAGCAATAAATGCCTTTACCTGCTTTTGCTGGTAAAAGGAGCATCTCTGCTCTTTGCCAACACAGTCTTTAAAACAGCAGTAATCGGCAGTGTTCTTTATCTTGTTTCTGAATTCAGATTATCTTTATTTTTCAAGCATTTTGATTAAACCAGAAAAAAGGGAACTTAAACAAAGGAGCCTACATTGAAGAGTGGAATATGACAATCTATTTAGGGAGTCTCCTTTGATTTTTATTTGAGAACAATGCTAAGTTTCTTATTATTAGGCCAAATTTCACTGTCATTACACTGGCATGTTAATAAAAGGCAGTGTGATTGTAGAACTGCAATTGAATTCCACAAGAGTGACATGGCACAGTCAGAAAGATTAGTTTGTAAATCCTCTGTAAACACTATCTGCAGGACAGTGAACAAGAGAGTTTTAACAGTGTCAGAGCAGAGTGCAATGGTTGACCAGAAATTCTGATTACAACAGAATTCTGATTACAAACAGAAATTCTGGATTACAAAGACACTTTAAGATTCATCAGACCTTTGGAGCTCATTTCCTGCATTATGACCCAGGACACTTGACAGGTTACAAAGAAACCTTGCAGACAATTCATGCCCATGACCCAAATGTGACACGAGAGCTCAGTCTGACCTTGGAATCACAGCCTGGTTTTTGTCACCAGGACTGCCCTAGCTTTGCTCAGTTTTGATTAGGAGATTTATCCAGAAGTTTATGGTAAGTATTTTTCCTTCTCTTCCCCTCTATTCTCTCTCCCTGTAGTTAATAGCATTGTAGAAATAGAAACAGCAAAGAGTTCATCTGACGCAAATGCTTTACAAGCACCTCTAAATTGTGATCATACCAAATTTGCATGCCTGCCATCTGCACAAAAACCCTGTCTTTGCTCCAGCAAAGCTGACTTGCTGAACTTACAGTCTCTAGATCTGTACAGCTCTGCCCCATTGCATGTGCAAACACAGACAGTGGGGACAGCAGCAGCTGAGTGTGTCCGTTCAAGGGCAGAATGCAGTCTTAAGCTTTAATAATAATACTTGTGGCAATATGTAACATTTAAATAAGCCTTTTCATCTTCAAAGTCCTCTGCAGGCACACGAATTTACCCAGCATCTCACTGGTGTGGCTATTATTAGCATAATTTTACAGAAGCAGCCAGGGGACAAAGAAAAACAATGAGATTTGCCCAGGGCAACTAGTGGGATCACAAGCAGAGAGGTTATTGTAAATTGGCATTACCTGGGAACTCCATTTAGAGATCATCAGAAAGAATAACATAGGAATATGTGTTCAAAGAACTACACAGAGTTTGGGCACCGTGTGCATGATATGCTTTTCACTAACAATTATGGATATACCCCAGCCATTAAACTAACAAGAGTAAAAGGGGGAAATTTGGAAATTTTAACCAGTGAAAGCCATCCAAAATTCTCCTGTTGGCAGTTCAGTGTTGCTCAGTGCATTGTGATGTAGATTTGATTTATTTTTTTGCAGAGAAGTGCAGCGCACTGCAGGGAATGTGAAATATCACCTCCACTGCACATTGATTTAAACCACACAGAGTTAAACTGCAACAATCTAGTGGATTCTGATCTAGCCATCCTTCTCTAAATATATGATAAATCTTTTTATTTTTAAGGTATTTCATTTTCATGGGAGTAAATTCCTGTGCAAAAGCTGAAATGTAAAGGAGTATCAAAACTATATTACAGTAGCTGAAATACTAATGCACTGTGTCCTGGACTGTACCTCCCTCAGACACATGACATGGTTTTGATCTAAGCTTTGGGGAATAATGTGGACAAAAAGCCTTTTCAAAAACAGAGAATAAAAATGGTCTTATTTGAAATTTGAGTATAACAGCTGAAAAAAGCACCACCCTCATCTTTATTAGCCTGCTATTCAATCCACATGAAGCAAAGACATTGTAACGCTGCTATTATCACCCCACTGGAAGTGGAGTGGGAATAAATGGAAAGAAACACATTACATGCAGTCCAAGAGACCTGATCCTGAATTGAGCTGAGCTTCTTATTCTAAGCCAGGATCTTTTTAGCTCTCCTTGACCTCAGCGAGAAATTTGGGCGCCCCAGAGCTACTGCACAGTATTCTTTATTCTTACAACTATAGGATAGGTGCACTGAAAAATACATTTAAAAGACACAAAAAAAACCACCAAACAAAAAAAGTATTTACTCTTTTTTTGTTTGTTTTATTCTTACATCTAAATATATTACCCCTGCCAACATAAAGGTATGGCAGCTGAACATTATGTGAAATATAAAAATCATGTCTATTTTGTCTAGGATTTTTAAATTGCCTAAGGTTAAGAATATTCTGCAGGGAAAAAAAAAAAAAAAGCAAAAAAAAAAAAAAAAAAAAGCATATAATCCTTCCAGAAGTGGATTTGTGCTTGTATTTTCCTATTAAAACGTTATATTTTACAGACTCTTCTAAGTTCTTTGGATGAATATAGTAGGCACAATATACTCCATCAGTATAATGCTGACTGGAAAAATATTATTGGGGGGTTTTCCATAAGAAACAACAGCAAATGCTGAAAATCTTATCATCCAGGGTGCTGTTGATTTTTTTTCTCTTTTCCATTATTTATAGGGGACAGCTACAGGCACACCACTCACTCTGTAATATTCCTACAGAAACAACAACCATCTGGGTGCTGGGGTGGGTGCACTGAGCCCTAGGGTGCCTTTAGCCAGTTCACTTGGAATCTCGAGTCTGTCCTGTCCTATCACCCAGCAGCAATGGAACATTTGTTCCCCGAAGGGCCGGCACGCTGCCAGCAGCAGGTGTTAGGCTGTCCTCTGGGATGAAGGCAGCAGGCATGAGCACTGATGTGTGCCCATGACAAGATGTTGCAAATCTGCTCTCATAGCGACGGTGACAGCATCTGGGACAGTGTTGTGAGTCACCATTCTGTAACCATTAAAAACCAGTTGCCATTCCTTTCATAATAATAAATTAAAATATCATTCCAAAGCGTGCTGGTCTCAGGAAGAAAATTAAAGAAGGCATGTAGGGATAAACACATGTGTGTGCACTGGCATACATGGTGTTACAGTGTGTGTTATCCCACTGTGTTCAAATGATTCGGTCTTAAATTAGCAGGTACAATTGATGGATAGGATAGGGTTGTGGCTACTATTCAGACTGCATTTTTAGATTTTACTAAAGGAAAACAATCAAGCAGAAAATGTTTAAAAGTCATTTAAAAAAGTTATTATCCTTTTAATCTAATGATTTTATAATTAATAGATAATTCATATGCAGATGCATCTATTAAACCCAGATTCCTAAGCCACCACCATTTAAAATTTTATTTACAGAGGCTGAAGTTGTGCTTCTTCTGCCTAAATGCAAGGCTTAGCAGGGTATGTAGCATTTTACAAGAAGAGGATTTATATAAATATCTACATGGAAACAATAATAGTTTAGCAGTAGCTGCCTCTTTCCAAAATGTCTGTTTTGAAAATGCTTCCATAGGTCTGTAGGCAGGTGCACAGATATTGTTTCCGTGGCTTCTTCCCACAGAGATCATATCCTTCTACTTTGGATAAATGTGGATAAAGTAAATTTTTAAAATTTGCCTACAAGCCATACAGCAAATATCCAAATAATGCTGTCCCTTGATTTCTCTGGAGTCTTGTTTCAGCCTGGCATGCTTATCTTCCAAGTGAACTAAATCCAAGACCTTCCACCTTATTGACCTTTGTTGAATATATTGCATGGGACTGATGAACTCAGTGACTGGGCCTCCCTTTGACCACTGGCTGTTTGTCATCAAGGCTTCTGCTTTCATTTGGGTTGGACCCAACCCAGTTCAGATCAAAGATGTCAGCAAAGCCAGGATTTCACCCTGAGCCTAGACATTTAAAAAGATCAGCATTATAGTGATGGAGGTTTTTAGGCAGGGCTTATCAACATAAGGGGCTTCAGAAGGAGACAACTCACATTGAAACTGACACCGTTTAGCCCAAGTGGTTTTTAGCATTTTTATATTTCCCCTCTACTCATGTTCAGTCTACTCGTGGCTTAACAATCTGGGTGGTTGTTCACTGCTTTTAGTCTACCAAAAAAGGAATTTTCCCTATTGTTTCCCCTTTAGTCTTAGCTGCAAGCCCCATATTTGTAGGTTCACCCAATAATATCCCAGGTGCTGCTGAAGACCAGATGCCTTGGCTATCTATCACCACATTTTAGTGAAAAATAAGTTATTTCCACAAAGACAGATGAAAAGTTGGTTTCAAATGCTCCATCTTGCAAAAATACATTTTACTTTTGCCTTTTCTCTTTTAGTTTTCTGTTATGAAATTTAAAAAATTCAGAATTTGTTCTATATTATTTTTCATCATAAATGGAATGCCCAAAATAGAATCGGGGGACTTTTTTTGACAGTTTTCAAGAAAAAAAATTTTTCTTCTTTTAGAACAGATTTGGTCAATAATTTGGAAAAAAAATATGCAGAAAATATAAATGGCAAATCTTTTTCTGGTCCTTTTCAAAATAAAACTGGCTGATTTCAGAAAACCTCTCTTTGTTTGGTTTTGAATACTTTAGACTTTCTCCTCAGAACCAAGAATCTGTCATTAAAAATTTTACTGAAACCTGTAAGAAGACAAGACTCCTGAGAAATTTTAAGTGATATAAATAGGGGGAAAAAATTTACATTGAATGTTAAATTCAGAGACAATGCAAGGCACATTTTTTAGTATTTATTTTGCGATGGAATTGAAAAATTGATCACTGAGTTATTTTCTTCTGCATATTGTAAATACAGGAAACCAGAAACCTGACAGTAGTGGCATTATCAAACAACTCTTCTCACCACACATTTAACTCCTCTGTTACCTGTAATTCTACCACAGACCTAAAATTTAAGTCAGGAATTGCTCTACAGTATCTTCAGGATAAAAAAAAATAAATTTCCTTCTGAAAAGGGAGAGAGAAACAAAAACAGAAAAAATGAAGTGCAGCTTTGAACCTCTAATGATTTCAAGGATTAACTGCTGGGTCTGTGTTTAGTGACATAACACCACCAAATTCAAAAGGTGACAATTACATCACCCCTTGACCTCTGCTAAAGCCTGGTGACAGGCACCTCTCAAGTAATTTTGTTTTTTTGTATTTTTAGGTGAATAATGAAGTTTTCTTCAGTCCCCTACATCATTCACTCACCTGCTGTGTGTTTAAGATCAGATTTTTGAAGTCAGGCATGTGAATTTGTGCATGTACATCTGCAGGCATCAACTGAAAATCCAGCCCCTGGTTAAAATGAAAAACACCCACCCAGAATCCTATTCCAATGTGAATTCTACAAGGGCCCCTTGAGAAAGTTGAATCCTTTATTGAAACATTTGACAAAGAAACCACATACTTTTCGGTTTTGATGCATTAGATAAGGATCTACTTTTTTCCTTTTTTTTTTTTTTTTTAAGAAAAAAGCCTTTGCTCTAAATCAGCAGCATGAAGAATTAAAACATGAAAACAAAAGCATATTATTTAAAGAACAGCCTGTTCCCTAAACTGTTACTATGCTGAGTGCCAAACCACATTTTGTGATATATCATGTACAACCTTCTCTTGAATGTTTTACTGTTATGCTTTACATGACTTGGACTGAGAAAACCCTGATAGTTCTGCCTTGGACTTACCACAAAGACTGGTCCACTCACAGAGCTGAATCACAACATGACAGTTTCCTCCCGGGATGATGACTCTGAAAGAGGTGGAAAAGTGTTTGTTTACTTGGTGCTATGTGTGAAAATCTGAGTTAAATAGAAATGTGAATTCATAGTGGATCTGTTGCCCTTCACCAAACACTTGGTGGTTGCAGAATGACAGTGACCTTGCTGCAAAGTGCAACTCACACGATATAGGGCCACTTCTTTCTCCCACAGGTCTAGAAATAAATGACAGTGACCTAAGATTGAATTTGAGTTTTCAGTATACAATTACTGCCACTAGTAAATGTGAAATAGTTTATTTTACAGAGGGCTATATTATATTTAATTTACAGTGGAGTAACAACAAGCACACATGCAGTTACTGCAAAGCAGCTCATGCCCACCAACTTCATCCACAAATCTATGCTGGAATGTTTTGGTTATATGCCTATACATCAGTCCATTTACATTAATCTGTTATCAGAATTCATCCTGATTAATTTTTCAGGAAACACCAGAGAGGACAAACTTAACTTTCTGTACTATGGTAGAGAGAAGGGTTCAGCAGCCTTTCATAGGTCTTTTTTCTTGCCTTTCACTGAATAAATCATGTCCCAGAGACACAGTTTATAAAAAAGGCAGGTCTGACAAATTAGCAAGCAAGAAAAGGACTGGAGCTATGGACAGGGTGTACGTGGAGAAACTGGCAACTGGAAGCCAACAAGGATAGCATGAGTAGAAGCAGCTGTTAACTGCTCTGTTAGCTCAGGTAGAGAGGTCCAAGCTATGGTACAAAAGGTCCAAGACTCGGGACTGACACTCAGGGATATCATTGTGATGGAAGATCTATTTTCCATTTATTTATGATCCTTTTAGAAAGATGACAGGCAGGGACTATACTGAAATTATATGTATTTTAATGCCAAGGACTTATGGGAAAAGAGATTACAGAATCAATGTTATTCTTTCAGTTGAAATTGAATTCCCTCTGTTCATATGCATTATATCTTTAATAACATAATTGTGTGCCATTTTTTCTACAAATCCCTTGTATTATTCCTTGCATAGTTGTGACCTATGCTGGGATGAACAAGAGTTAAATAGTGAAGTAGACTGATCTGGATCTCCACATATTGAGAAACTAAAGCTAATAAATGAGGTAGAAATTCTTGGGAGTTATAGGAAAGTTAAATCCACTTACCATTGAGGTCAGGACTCTCAAAGTGCCATTACTAAAGTCATCATGTAGTCAGTGATGTATGGTCTCTTATATGTGTCTCATTTTCAGAGGGCCCAGACTGATACTCCAGGGTTAGAAACACTGAAGTGCTGAACCAGCTGAAGGTGAGGACATAAAGGGCCATGCCAGGAACATATAAAGTTTAACTTGGTATTCCCATAAACATTTATAGTAACTCAACATATAGTAAACATTTATAGTAAACTCAAGTATCAGTAAAAAAGAAGCATGAGGATATGGAAAAGATGGATTTTTTTTTTTTTTGATACACTGAGAATAGAAGGTAGCCTGAATTGAAAATTCTCTTTTATACATATTTTTATTGTGAATTCAGTGGATTCCAAGGAAAAAATTATGGAATTTAACAACTCACTAATGTCATTCAGGTGATCTAACTGCTGCAGATTTTTACTTTACTGCATTTAAAAAAAAAATAGTCATGAGAACATATTTTCTGTAGTTAACCCTGAATTAGTGTATTAGTGTGAGAAACTAGTGATAAGTATTCCAAAATAATTATAAAATTAGGATTATTTTCTGCTTTCTGTACATCATTTCCCTTCACCTTCTGGTGGTATAACATAACAAAAATAAATTAAATCTTGTTGGTAACATACGTAAATGTGACTGTAAAAAGCTGAAGAGGAGATTAATAACTCAGGGCAGTAAACAAGGCCTGGGACCACACATTGAACTGTGAGGAAAAACAGAAGTTTTTCTGTCCCATCTATCTTACATGTGAATAAAAACCCACACAGTCGAGTAAATGTAGCATAATGCATACACAGAACTTGTGCAGTTTTAATTTCAGCTTTCTAATGTTTCAATCTTTGAAGTCCCCAGTCCTTTTAACATTCCTTAAATGTTATTTCACTGTAATTACTGTGTTAGTAATGAGAGATTTCCCAAATGGAGTTATTTGCTATCAGTCCAGTGAGGCTCTGGGAAAGGAGAAAGGGTTGTGGCTTACCTGCTCAAATCCCTTGCACACATGGTCAGATAATTCTGACCAAACTGGAAAATTTTTCATCAAAATCTTTCATTCCAGAAGAAAGAAGTTTTCCCCTGTAGTAAGCCACAGAGAAGAGTCACGGTGACTGTTTGTTCCTGAGTTTATTCTGGGATGTGCTGCCCAATACATCCCAGCCCATGAAGGAGGCAAGTGTGCATTGCACAAATGTGCATGAGGAAAATCTTATGGTTTATGAGGCAGCTTTAGTGAACTGTGTTTATATTATGGTTGGGCAAAGGTGCAAGTTTTGTGCT